CCATCGCTTCTTAGGTTGGAGGCCATCGCTCATCGGTTGGAGGCCATTGCTCATCGGTTGGAGGCCATCGCTCATCGGTTGGAGGCCATGGCTCTTAGTAGGTTGGAGGCCATCGCCCTTAGGTTCAGCACCGCTGAGGCTCTTCGCACGCCACCCTGGCGGCACGGAGGTGCTGCGCCAGGCCACAGGCGGCGACGCCACGGAGGCCTTCGGTTCGCACAGCGCCTACGCCCGGGCCTGGGCTGACCGCTACGTCATCGGCGTCTTGGTGGAAGTTAGTAGCTTCTTGCTCCTAGTAGTGAAGCGAAGCGAAGCGAAGAGCGATGGCTTCCAACCGAGAAGCGTTCTTGCTCCTAGTAGCGATGCCAGGAGCCCCTAGTAGCGTCCTTGCTCCTAGTAGTAAGGCCAAGAGCCCCTAGTAGCTTCTGGCTACTAGTCTTGGAAAAACTTGCAAAGGATTTCATATCTTGTTTTAGTGCAATGTTTTTGGGCTCAAGGATTTCATCATTTGCTGGCTCACCGCAAAATGTTCGCCTTTAAATTGGAACTTTTTAAATGCGCTACCGAGCACATAAGTATATCATATCTTCAATTTCACCTTAAATGTTTGAAATCCTTCCAAGGGTGAAGTTTCCTTCTGAAGTGTTCATTTGTCTCCGCTGCCCTGATACCCGACCCCTTCTTCGAAACAGCGCTGAGAATTGTGTCAGTTCTCTACCAAATCGATCTCCTTGGCCTTTGGTTGAGCGTGATACTGTGTTGAAGGAAGGTGCAGGCAGACAGTACTCACCTGCTGTAGGGTCCTTGTCGTGTCCTTGTGTGAATTGGCCAAGGTTTCTGTCCCGAGATTTACAATCAGGCATGCGTGGCACGGTTTTGAGAAGGACAAGAAAGGCAAGAAATAGACTTAAAAGGTCTTTAAGACATAAAGACAAAAGGAAAAGGAAAGGACACACCACAGGAAAAAGGAAAACGAGAAGAACAACGGTCAAACACGGTCAAACTAAGGCCTCCTTTTTCTACTCTATAGTAGAAAAGTATAGAGAAGGACAAAACACATTTAAAAACACTTGTCCCTTTTTTCCGTTCTTTTCAATTTAAAGAAGGAAGACCCAAGGCCAATGCTTTCTTGTCCAGGCCATCCCGTTTCGATTGGCTCCTCCATCGAGTCGATGCTGTGAAACGATCGTTTCTTGGCGTTTGGAGAGAGCCGTTGACCACATCATACAAATTGTAGCTTCTTGTTACTACTAGTAAGGCACTTGTTACTAGTAGCGATGCACTTGTTACTAGTAGCTTCTTGTTACTACTAGTAAGGCACTTGTTACTAGTAGCGATGCACTTGTTACTAGTAGCTTCTTGTTACTACTAGTAAGGCACTTGTTAGTAGCACAGCAAAAGGGTGAATGGATACTCTTCAAAGCAGGATCGGCACTTTTCGACAGACGCTCAACGTCCGGGCTATGGCTACACAGGAGCCTTTAGAGCTCCTACTGGGGTTTAGCCTATGCCGTTGTTACTAGTAGCTTCTGGTTCCTAGTAGCGATGCCCTTGTTACTAGTAGCGAGGCCCTTGTTAC